TATTCAGAAAACTATGCAGTATCCAAAGACTGAGACTGAAAGCAGATAGGTGGAATTAGCAGAATGAAAAAAATTAAAAAGTCTACTGATAAATAAACATCCAAGGGGACAAAGAAAAGAAAGAGCAAAGCAAAACACTGTATTTACCTCCCATTCTCCTTGTCTGATTCCTATTTTTTTTAATGCTAATAATAAAATTCAAATTTGAGATCATCCTGTCTCTGATTTTTGAAGATTTTACTCCTGTTTCAGTATTTCTCTCCATCTTATTAGGGCTTGAGTCCTATACAAATAACTAGATAAAAATAAATATATCTCCACAGAGTTGATCAATTATCTTCTTTCCTTTGTAAAACCTCTTGTTTTGAGAAAGGAGATAGTTTGTTCACAGGTAGAAGTTGGAATCATTGATTCTATGAAAAAAAGAAATATAAGAATTATTTCACACTGGGCCTCCCCTGTGGCGCAGCGGTTGAGCGCTGGGTTGCGAAGCTGCCCACAGCCTCTGCAGCGCCGGTTCGATTCCCGGCTGCTGGGCGAGGGCCCCACATGGCACAGACCTCTCCTGCCGCCCACTGCTCCCCTCAGCAGTGTACTTCATCAGTCTGCCTGCTCTGCTGTCCCCTCTGGCTCTGGTGAATTCTCTCACCCTTCCGCGCCACAGTGCTTGCATAAATAAATAAATAAATAAATAAATAAATAAATAAATAAATAAGAAATACTATAAAGAATTCAGTCTTCTACAAATTCAGTCTTCTACCATCTACAGGGTGTCCAATTCTCTGAAATTGCTTCACAAAAGAAGATTGTATTTTCAAAGCAAAATGGAATATATATATCTCTGTGTGTGTGTTTACATGTATATATCATGATGTTCAGAATGTAACATGGAAAGGCAAACAAGATAATTACCAGCCTTAATGTACACTTAATTAAAAGGTTTACCATTTTAAATGCCCAATTTAGGCAAATAGGAACTACATTCTATTAAACCAAGGTGTGGAACTATTTTAATCAGTAAGAAATATTGTCCTGTTACCCTGTGTCCTTGACATTGCATATATGAGTTTTAAGCACTATAAATTTTAGGCATCAATTGTGTAATTGTAAAAGTTTTCCTTACATCTTTAGACAAACAAAGTTTTAAAAGAGGTGTAATTAATATAGAAGATTCTCAAGATTGTGTATATTTTGTGAACATATTTTGTATTTTTTCTAGTTGTTGGAGAATTTTTTTAAATTGTAGATTCAAAATTGGAATTTTTTTTTTGTTCTCTTTAAAAACATGGTTTCTTCTATGTCCAGCTTTAATAATATGCATTTATATATTGAATACAAACACACAAACTTAATGATTTTACTAATGCTTCTTGACATAACGGTACTGTAAGTAGGGAATATGTTCATTTGAGTTCACATAAAATCTAAAGGTCTTTTTGGTTCAGAGTTTAGAAAATTCTTGATAATTTAGAATGTTCCACAATGGAAAGTAAAGCATTCTGTCACAAAAGCAGGGAGGATGAGACACAAGGTCAAAGGGCGTTTTAGAAACAAACAGCTGGACCAGTTTATTTAAACAGATACAGGGATGGAGGAACTGACCTCTGTTTGACTTATAGTGGGAGGAGCAAGAATGTCATTTTATTACTTTGCCCAGAAGGAAAATGTTTTTGTATCTGAATTCACCCCAAAGCCATCTAAACACATGACTTTGCTGTACATAGCATAATTCCAAAGAGAGTACATTTAAGAGAGCCGAAGATAACGATAAAATATACTAGAGTTTAAATGGCCTGAACAGTAAACATTAAATGTTTAGATGGTTTTCAGATTGGAAGGTGATATTATTTAAACAAATATAATCCTGCTATTTACCTAGTTATTTTTGGATAAAGATGTCTATTTTGATAGCAGATGGTGGATAAAAGGTGTCTTCCCAGAAAAAAATATTGTTGCTTTTTATAAGAACAGGAATTTTAATTCTGAGAGCTTATTGTATCCTATGTGTTGGTACTGTTCATTGTATGGAAAAAAGCTTGTAACTAATGTTTTCAAAATGAGAAGTTCCAAGCACTTATGTGGTCAAAGTGATTAGATGTTCTTAGGTTTTCAGTGTCCTTTAATTTTTTTTAATGAAAGGATTCTCATCTTTATAACTATGTGTCCAGTAGGAAGCCTACAACTGTGTTGTCAATAACAACAAATGGTTATTGTCACCAAACTGACCCAAATAGCACTGAGTACCTGTGGCCCCTTAGCTAAGAGACTGATGCGGAACTGACTTTCCACATGGGGACCAGAGCAGACCTGGAGTAACTGCATGTAGTGTTGTTCTACTGAAGACCTTCCTGAAGCTGATCCTCAGCACAGTGATCAGAGTGGCCCAAGTGATGAGGAAACTCAAAATCCTAGAACTCACATTCTAGAGGGAACTTGTTAAGAATCATGGATGTTTAATCTAGGGGCTATAGTTTAAATATTTGAAAGGCTTCCTTGAGGAAGTGAGGTTAGTCTTGTTTAAATTACTCCAAGGAATTGTACTAGAGAAAGTGTTTTAAATCAAGTCAAGCAGAATCCTCTAGCAGTTTGCCATGTCCACAGATGGAGTGCACTCACAGGTAAGGTGACTGGTGCTGTGTAGGAATCAGTCTGGCAGAGGCTACCCAGGTACTTGGTGAGGATAACAGAAGGGGATTCATGTCAGTCACCAAGTTTGGTGATGACTAAAGCCCTAAGTTCTTCTATGATACCTTGGGATTAATAGTCATAAAGTCAAACCTAAGCTACTTTTTAGGAAACAGTCTTTGGAAACCCGAATGTATGAGTACGGAGGAAACACGCTTTGAACATAGATAAGTCAAATAACTAAATTTTCTTATCTGTAACCTTATCTTTGTCTATTTATAGATGTAATATAGTCATCAAAATCTCCAGTCTACAAAATGTTCAGACATGCTATTCCTGGACTCAACTATAGGGTTTTGCCTCTGGTTTTTGGCTGAAAATCACTTAAATTTTCAATATCTAGTGTGGAATATTCTAGATGGGTGGCACAATAGCAGCCATGCTCTGGACAGGATGTTAGAGGGGAGGGTGCTTGCTGCCATTTGCCAGCTGTGTGTCATTCAGCAAAGTATTAACATCTCTTGGGTAACATGTGACCTCAAATAAATCACTTCATTTCTCTGAGTCTTGGATTCTCATTTGTTAAAAGACAATCAATCGTCTTCCTACTTTTAGATGGAGTAAATCAAATCTATAAAATATTATGTTTTTGAAAGGACTTTAAAGTTATCAGAGTTCCTTCCCGCTAAGAGTTTGTATATTATGAACAGTCACAGGAAAGACGTTTTTGCACTGCTACCTATGTTAGTTACTATGAAAATTACTTTTGGTATATGCAGAATAGTAATATTAAATAATTTTCTAATTGGTCATGCAGTGAAGGCAGCTAATGAAAAGGCAGATTTTTTTTTCATTTTAATTGGTTATTTCACATGGTGTTTGTGCTACACCTGTGCTTATAATGAGAATGGAGAATTAATCTAACCTTCTGCTCACATGATTCCAATTTTCATGGTTTATACAAGATAATGATAACCTGATTTGCAACACAATTTGTTGGAGATCTGTGTTTTAAATATTTTTATTAGCAGTTCAGGGACTTCATATACAAGAACTGATCTAATATATATTGCCAATAAGAGTTAGCATCAACAGTCTCCTTTAGTTAGATTATGGTCTCATTATTTATTTTAATTACTTCTCAGATAATGAAAGAACGTAAGAATACAGGATACTGAGATTCTTAAACTCTCATGAACCATACACTTGTATTTTAAATACTTGTCCCACTTTGTTTAATGGTTTGGTTTTGAGGAATTATTTTCCTTCTCAAGTGGGCAGATTTATAAACTAGAATGCATACTGGACTGTGGATACTTTAGTTATTAATAATGCATTACTAAACTTTTCATTGTATTTTTTATGTGATGCTCATGTTTAATATATTCAGATCTGAACTGAGCACTAAAAGCAGTTTACTGTTTCAGAATCGAGTATGTCCTGTTCATTTTCTGTACCTGCTATGGAATTCTTAGTATTATGTAATACAAACTGATCTCAAGAGTTAGAAATTTCAATAGCATGTCTCTGGAAACTTTGTATTAACTACTTTAAAAAAATTTTTTCAGTGGCTTACCATTTTTTGAGGGGCTACATAAATTGCACCCCTAAAATCTTATTAATGTTTAATAAAATTATTTATTATAAATTTTCTGGACTAGCTGGAGAAAGTAAGATTATAAGTTCAATTACTGTATAGTTGTGACCTTGCCTTGACCTCAGACTTTGCATAAAGAACCAAAAAAAAAAAACCTCTAAGAAATCTCTACAAGGAATGCGTTTCTCTGAAGTCCCCAGCGGTGTGAGTTAGTGGTGATAAACTCCAGACATTCTCTCATTTGATGGTGTGCTGCCGTCCCAGTTCATTATCTTAATAGTGGGCATTAAAATAGAATTAGATTTGCAAGAGGTAGGAAAGGTTTTGATAAAAACTGTGAAAACGAAGCCGAGAAGGTAAGATTGAAATGTTACTAATTAGGAGAAGTAACAGATGCCCTCTGAACATCTCACTCTCTACACCGAATTTCTCCCCTTGCAACTGAAAAGAGTGGTGGCTAGTATTGTTTCCTGAAAACTCTGCTAATTCCCCCATGAAAAGATGAAATGGAAGTGTCCAACTGTGGTAAAACAGGCAAACATAAATCAACTCAGAAACCCCAAGCCTGTGTACTCAAAGGTCACTGGGGGTGATAGGTTTTGCAGCATGCGAAGCTGCACATAGAGCTGTGGAGAGAACCAAGGCAGCCTCATTTTGCCATGATCTAGCTTTGCTCTCGCTGTGATTCATCCGCTCCTCTTCCTCCCTCCAGCCTCCCACCCCCATTTTTTTTTTTTTTTTTAAGGAGTAACGACTTGCTTTACTCTCTTATTTGCAGGTTTATTAATGCCCGGAGAAGAATAGTGCAGCCCATGATAGACCAGTCCAACCGAGCAGGCAAGTCCCCCATAGTGACTGTATTCAAGTCACGCAAGCGAAAGCCATCCTCAAGCCATTCACCCGGAGGTCCCCTACCTGGTAAATAGACCGGGAGTGAGTGCTAGGAGCTCCTGGCCATTAAAACCAAACCAGTTTCGTTTCATAACACCACTAATCAATTTAACGTTATTATGAAACATTTGGAGAAGGTGGGGGAAAAGCCAACAGAGAAAAGTAACTCAAATCATATGCTCAGTTACAATATTCTTTGTACACATTCAATATATTAATGTTATTTTTTTTCTGAGTTTGCCTTCCCAGCTCTTTCTGCTACTATGACCACTCCCTGGTGCATGGCTTGGTGTGGAATTGCTGTAAACTTTATTACCTGTCAAAAGGGCAGAGAGGTCAGGATCGCTTGTGGGACTCAGTAAAGTTCAAAGACATTCAATGAGGTAGAGCTTTTGTGTGCTTTAATAACCCAAGGCAGCTTACTTCTGAAGCAGCTTTTCATGTACAGTTAAAACATGGGATTCAGGTAGTGATATAAATACACGGTTCTAATTTCTCAGGTCTTCTTCCCTTCATATCCATCTTCTGGTGTTCAACTTTTTACAGAAAATTCTGTTTTGTTTTGTTTTGTTTTGTTTTGTAATCTTGAGCGTAAAATGGCAATATTTCTGTGGCCTTGTGGCTTGCAGATCTAAAAATCCAGGAAAGCTCTTTCTGGAATTTGTTTGTGTATTGTCATGTACCAGTCAGATCAGAAACAGCATTTAGGAGGGGTAATGCATGTCTCCACTTCCTTTATAAAGCGCTCTCTCATCTCATAGAGAGCATGTCATGGAGTCAGTGCACACTTAGCCATGTTCCTGTAATATTTTTTCTTTCAATACTCATTATGTGATCACCAGACAAAAGCCCAAATTTAAGTTTCTACATCTTTGCTGTTCTTTGAACACAGTATTTTAAAATTCTGCCATGTGGTTGTATAGAGAGGTACTTGAGGAGAAATTTAACTTTGATGATTTTAAAATTTTACCCACCTGGTATGTTCCCTCTGTCTCCTTCTTTGGGATCTTATTATGTTCTCTCTTAGTCTCTCTCTCTCTGGCTCTTTCTTTCTGTATCTTGGAGACTGTGATTAAGAAGCTGTGTTCTACACTTTTGTAGTAAGTCAAGGAACACCTTATAACCCCGACGGACAGCCGATGGGAGGTTTTGTGATGGACGGTCAGCAACACATGGGGATCAGGGCACCAGGTAAGATCTTGCCTTTGTGATGGCTTTTCATTTTTAACTTCAAGAGGTTCACCCCTCATCAGCACAGGTAAATTCATCTCCTCCTTTACTGTTGTCTCGAGCTGCCTGCCTTGCCTGCCATCTGTGCATCTGAGATATTGCAGTGGGGGAGCCAGGATCTTTATGCGCTGAAGATCTTACTGTTTCTCAACCCATTGGAACCTGTTTTTTTTTTTTTTTTTTAAGGGTCTTTTGGCACTCTCTGTTGACTTTGCTCATTTTCTGGCCTCTTCTTGGATTTTTATCTCCCTTCTAGGACCTATGAGTGGAATGGGCATGAATATGGGCATGGAGGGGCAGTGGCACTACATGTAACCTTCATCTAGCTAAGCAATCGCAAAGCAAGGGGGAAGTAAGTACAAATGGGGTCTTTGTTTTCACTTTGTCCTAGGAATATTTTTCCTCTTGCATTTTCTTATGTTCTCCTTGCCCATAGCTTCATGCTTGTTCATCCCTTTCCATTAAACTCCTGGTTTCTTGCTTCCTTCATTTTCTCCTTGGTTGTGATCAAGCTTTTAAGCTTATAAATACTGTGTATGATGTACATTTATCCTGTGTGTTGCTATTGTACAGTACTGACCACATGACAAAACAAGAAACAGTCAGGAGGTGGGGGAGTGGTTGTCATAGCAACAGACTGATTTGCAAAATGTAAGCAGTCTGCAGCAGTGCAAGGAGAGGAAAGAGCATGTCCCCAAAGTGTCATAAATCTGTCTAACCGCAGTTGATGCATGAGTTACATTTCTACACTAACCTGCAAGACACCGAAAAGCCAAACAGAGACTTCTTTTAGGAAAGATAAACACTAGCTTTGCTTAGGGTAAGTAAAGGCATATTTTGAGCTTCAGTCAACTAAACTTTGATTTTTTTTTCTTAGTTTATTCCTTTGTCTGTCCATCATAATGGGATTACGTGTGGCAATGGAAAAAGGGAGAATACAAAATAGAGGTGTGCACAGCAGGCTGCAGGGCTTAGCCCAGGCTAATTGACTATATCCAAATTAAGTATGCCATCACTTGCAGTGTGACAAATGGATTTGACTTATTCAGTATACAAAAATAGAGATCATTAATGCAATCTTCAGTGGCAAGCCTAGTGAAGTGGCCCAGGAAAACTGTCCCAGATTCTTACTCTTGGATTTTCTCTCCTAAAAAGACACTCCAGCAATTCGTGTTCAAACAAGTAAAACTGTTTTGAACACCAAAGCTCTTGTTCACTTCCTAAATTACTCCTAATAGCATTGCTCTTGCTTTGTTTCTGAAATTAAAAGCGGTTATGTCAGAGTCTTGGTTGTATCTCTGATTATATTAACACACTATTTAAAATCACTGCAGAGGCCGTGGGTAATTCGTACTGTTCTTCTTCTCTGGGTGTGAGTCACATATAAGTTTAACAATTAGCTCTTGAAAACATTCCACTGAGCTCAGGAATGCAACAGTCTTATTACCTCATCATGGAATTCTCTAGCTTAGTTAATTTAAATATTGTTTCTTAGTTTCTGGGTCAATTAAATTTAAATGATGTATTTTATGCTTCGTGACCAATTAAATTAATAGGTTATTACAAAAAATATTATCATCTTTTTTGATTAAAGAGCTGTGGGTACAGTATATTTTATAAGCAATTTTCATTAGTTCAAAAATGTTCCTTTAGGCTAGATTAAGCAGCCATTCATTGCTAGAGCCTAGAGACCTTATTCGAAGGTGTTCATCGTATTCACAGTGCACTATTACTTAGAACTAAAGCCAATTGAACCTACTTAGCAATAGCGTTATGCCTTTCACCCTTGATGATTATGGAGCTTATAGCTCTCAGAAACAATACACCTGTCAGTTTCCATCAACTACAGCAATCCATGCAGAAGACAAGAGGCCCCTCAAAGCAGGAGGGGTATTGTTTTGGTCCAATTTTTCTTATTGTTCTCAAAATCATTGTAAGGTGGACAGGGTTTTGTGAAGCTTTCTTTCTCCTGCTCTAAAAGACCACGAGGAAGGAATGCATTGATTACTGTTTTGTTTTATCAATTTTTAAAAGTATAGGTTTTGCCAAGTAATTGCCCTTAGTAAGTCTGTCTAGTCTGGCTTCGTGTGAGCTGTTGGATGACCAGTGCTGGGTACTCTTGGGCTCTTGCTAGAGAATGTTTCAGGGGACAGAAGTGTTTCTTCAGACCAGAACTCACCAGAACGGTCTTTTTTTCTTAGTAATTATTATCCATGCGTGCATGCATGCATGCATTCATTCATTCATTCATTCATTCAAATGAGACCTCAGTAGGCAGATTTGATAGCAGTGACCAAGAAAGGAAAGGAGAAACAAAATGTGAGTTTCAAGCATGACATTCTTCATTTTATTTTCTTCTATTTGATGCCAAAGAATACTTTAGAGACCCAAGTTCCCTTCATCACAATGTTCCCTGGCTTTCATAGTATTGCCATAGCCAGAACCACACTATTGCTTTTTCATAATATTTTCTTTTTGTTTCTTTCTTTTGAATTTCTGCAGGGCTGCAAAGTATGCCAGGGGAGTATGTAGCCCGGGGTGGTCCAATGGGTGTGAGTATGGGACAGCCAAGTTATACCCAGCCCCAGATGCCCCCCCATCCTGCTCAGCTGCGTCATGGCCCCCCATGCATACGTACATTCCTGGACACCCTCACCACCCAACAGTGATGATGCATGGAGGACCGCCCCACCCTGGAATGCCAATGTCAGCATCAAGCCCCACGGTTCTTAATACAGGAGACCCAACAATGAGTGGACAAGTCATGGACATTCATGCTCAGTAGCTTAAGGGAATATGCATTGTCTGCAATGGTGACTGGTTTCAAATCATGTTTTTTCTGCAATGACTGTGGAGTTCCATTTTTGGCATCTACTTTGGACCAAGGAGCATCCCTAATTCTTCATAGGGACTCTTAAAAAGCAGGAAATACCAACCGAAGTCAATTTGGGGGACATGCTAAATAACTATATAAGACATTAAGAGAACAAAGAGTGAAATATTGTAAATGCTATTATACTGTTATCCATATTACGTTGTTTCTTATAGATTTTTTAAAAAAAATGTGAAATTTTTCCACACTATGTGTGTTGTTTCCATAGCTCTTCACTTCCTCCAGAAGCCTCCTTACATTAAAAAGCCTTACAGTTATCCTGCAAGGGACAGGAAGGTCTGATTTGCAGGATTTTTAGAGCATTAAAATAACTATCAGGCAGAAGAATCTTTCTTCTTGCCTAGGATTTCAGCCATGAGCGTGCTCTCTCTCTCTCTCTCTCTCTCTCTTATTCTCTCTCTCTCTCCCCCCCACACTCTCTCTCTATTCCCCCTCTTCTCCCTCCCTCCCTTTCTCCCTCCCTCCCTCTCCCCCCCTTTCCCTCTCTCCCTCTCTCTAGCCTGGGGCTTGAATTTGCATGTCTAATTCATTTACTCACCATATTTGAATTGGCCTGAACAGATGTAAATCGGGAAGGATGGGAAAAACTGCAGTCATCAACAATGATTAATCAGCTGTTGCAGGCAGTGTCTTAAGGAGACTGGTAGGAGGAAGCATGGAAACCAAAAGGCCGTGTGTTTAGAAGCCTAATTGTCACATCAAGCATCATTGTCCCCATGCAACAACCACCACCTTGTACATCACTTCCTGTTTTATGCAGCTCAAAAACATAGACTGAAGATTTATTTTTAATATGTTGACTTTATTTCTGAGCAAAGCATCAGTCATGTGTGTATTTTTCCATAGTCCCACCTTGGAGCATTTATGTAGACATTGTAAATAAATTTTGTGCAAAAAGGACTGGAAAAATGAACTGTATTATTGCAATTTTTTTGTAAAAGTAGCAGTTTGGTATGAGTTGGCATGCATACAAGATTTACTAAGTGGGATAAGCTAATTATACTTTTTTGTTGTGGATAAACAAATGCTTGTTGATAGCCTTTTTCTATCAAGAAACCGAGGAGCTAATTATTAATAACAATCATTGCACACTGAGTCTTAGCGTTTCTGACGGAAACAGTTTGGATTGTATAATAACGCCAAGCCCAGTTGTAGTCGTTTGAGTGCAGTAATGAAATCTGAATCTAAAATAAAAACAAGATTATTTTTGTCATGCTGACTCCACTGCTTGAAAAATTTGTTTATTGCCCCCTAAATTTTTAATGATTAATGGTAGTAAATATAAAAAAAAATCATTTTAACTCCCTAAGACATGTACGTATTTTAAAATTTTAACCACAAAGTAAATTATTTAATAGTAGTCACTGATTTCTTTACACTGACTTAATGAACTCCTAATATCAGCAAATTTAAGGCCCGAGGGCACTAAACTAACTGTAGACTCAGATTACATCCAACAGAATTACTCATCTAATATCAGAAAATTATTCTTGCACATAATGGCAAACCTAAGTACAGTTAAGTCTTTTACTAAGGATGTTACCGAGGATGAGCAGTATATGTTTATTAGGAAATTAACTATGTGAATTGAAGAGACCAGACTTCAAAATCTAATTTTTATAAATATGTTCTATGTTCTCATTGGATAAAACTGGTTATTAACCAATTTTCCAGAACAGCTGTACAGAATTTCTGCATGGCAGCCAGCTAAATGGTACAAAATAACATGTTTAAGTTGGAATAGCTTATAATTTTATTTGAATAAAATTGCTGCTATAAAAAATGCTTCCCAAAGCTAAGGAAAAGATACAAATATTTTAATTAAGGCAAATTCATTTAAAAAAATCAGCCTTTTAGTAGTGATTGCTTTGCAAACAAAGGATGGGTCAGAGCAAAGAGCCTTAAACTCAAATCTTTCACTCAGACCCATGTCACCCTATAAACCCGCCCTGAACAATTCTATTTTCTCTTTGAAAAGAAAAACCAGCTGTGTGTTGGCTTTACTAGGTGATGTGTGATTGACTGACTTACCTGCTGGAGCAGCAGAGCTTACTCTCACCTTTTGTTTATGGGGCCTTGTTTCTAAACATGTGGATGAGAGAGAGTCACACTCAACCTTCTGCAGCCTCACCCCCCACAGCGCCCCCACCCCACTCCACCCCCACCCCATATATGGGATTGTTTAAGTTTCCCATTTGGGCTCAGTGGCAATTCTCCCACTACATAAATAGTCCATATTAGTGAAATAATTCTCTTTTGATAGGTGGTTACTAGCAGTTAACAACCATTTATTTACTTTAAAAATTAATAATAAACTTTATAAACTAACCATCCACTTGCCCCTCCTCCCCAGCACATGCCTGGGTGATTTGGTTATTTCCAGCCTTTATTCTTGGAGGAAGCTTTTGCTGGGGTGGAGGGGGAGTGGGGAGAGAGGGGAGTGGGGGGAGAAGGAGAGGGAGGGAGAGGGAGGTGGAAGGTGGAAGGGGGCTTGAGAGAGAGAGAGAGAGAGAGAGAGAGAGAGAGAGAGAGAGAGAGAGGAGAATGAGAAGGTTATATGTGAAGAGGAATTAGTGAATATGGAGACTATGAAGAATGAAGATCATTAGTGTCCAGTGAATTAGAAAAAAATAAAACAAACTGTGTTCTTTCTCAGCGTCCTTCTGAAGGTTTTGAGAGCCTTGCTCTCTGCCGTTCTCCCCCCACACCCCCTTTCCCCCCCCTTAACGCTATTTTAGCTTTTCCTCGTGTAAATTTCAGAGACAGCTCGGAGGTTATTGAGGACACTTACCCGAAAGAGGGAAATAATAGAGGTGCTGTGAGTGTTTTTTGATGTTTCTTAAAAGGGAAAAACAAAACGCCCTCTTCTAAACAAGGGCACACAATTGTACCTGCTTTTTATTTTTAGGGGGGGGGGAGGGCGTTGATGGAATGATACTACTTTTGAGAACGATTTAAATATTTTTCAAAGAAATTAAAAATATTTTACCCTCATATTTAATCAGCTGTAATTATAACACATTCAAAATGAATAATATGTCTTGACAGTATTTTTATTGTTATTGTTCATTGCGTGATGTTCGACTGCTTTAGAAGCACAGGAAAGAGAAGTAAACGCGCTACAAATGGGGAATTACCCTCGTTTAGCATTAAAATTCATTTAGATAAAATTGCCACAAACATTTAAATGGGAAGATTAGTTCCCCCTCACGCCTTATTGCACTCGCTCAATGGTTCCGTTAAGAACATTTTACACGTTGGAAATTCCGTCTTCTCAGACGGCTTGCTGTTTCCTAGTTACCCACATTCAAAGCAAAGGCAGCAGCAAAGGCAGCCACAGCAGCAGCAGCAGCAGCAGGAAAAAAAAGTTTTGGCAACTGGTCTGTAATTCATGGGCCGCTGGCCTCAGCCTCGCCTGCGCCCAGAGCAGGCCGCCCCCACCCCGCACCCTGGCCCGGCCCTGCCTCCGGCCCCCACTGCGGGTAAAGTGCGTGGTCCTGTTCTGGAAGCAACACGTTACTAGATGGGCTGTATTTGTGTACAGTGTTAAAATAGAAAGAAATATCAAAGAGTCGGTCAGCCCGCTCCTCTGCCCTCTTTGCTCTGAACAGAGGGCTGGGTTTTAAAGAGCTGAGGTCCTGCATCTCCTATTCTGATTCCCTAAGGCCCTCATTTTGTTGCATCTCTCTTCTGACGGGACATTTCCAGGAAATTCACCATTGCTTCTTGCTGTGCATGGGTTTGGAATGTGCGAAAGAATTTGTTTGCAAAGTCCGTGCAAGGTCTAGTTTCTCTCTCTCTCTCTCTCTCTCTCTCTTGCTCCCTCTCCCGCCCCCCACTTTCGTGCTCGGCCTGCCTCCTCTCTCCCCCATTCCCTCCTCCCTCCTCCCCCATCTCTCGCTCGCTCCTCCTCCCTTCCAGAGCGGCGGAAAAGAAGAACCTCGGCTTCGACTGCCATCTTTTGGGGATTTGGAAAAACTACTCGGTAGGAAACGGAGGGAGGCGGAGGCGCGGGGGGTGGGGGGAACCCCCTTATTATCCTGTGTCGGAACTGGCTCCCTTAATCTGATGCTTAAATATTTGATGTGGAAAAATTACCCATAAAATTAGTTACTAACAATTTCAAATTGAAATCACTTATCGAATTATAAACGCATTAAAGCTGTATGGATGGTATTAGGAGTTCCTCGGGAGGCAGCGGGTGTCTCCTCGCCGCGATCCCAGCCGGCGGGCTCGGCCCGAGGGAGCGGCCCCCGCACCCCTCCCCCTCCCGGGGCCGGGGCCGGGGCCGGGGCTGCCGGGCGCTCCGGGCGCCGCGGTCCGGGCCGGGGCCCGAGGCGGGCGGCCAGGCCCCGCGGAGGCTGCGGCTCGCCGGCGCGCGGGGCAGGGAGGAGGAGGAGAGGCGCGGCGGGGGGAGGCTCCGACCCCGGCGTGGAGGCGCCTACCAGGAAACTTGCTAGTGGAGTCGTGAGTTTCTGAAAAGGAGAACACCAGCCTAAGCCGCCTCCTCCCTCGGGTACCTCCTGGCCGCTCGCAGCCTCGCGCCGGCCTCGGGAAGCGCGCGGTGCCGCCCCCAGCCCCCGAGTGCCGGCCCGGGCGGCGGGGAGATGCGGGGGGCCTGGGGCCCGCGCGGCCGCCGCGAGGACCCC